AGAGTCCCCCTCCCTACGACCACGTGTCAGGGGCGGAAAATGGCCGCGGACGTGTCAGGGGTGGAAAAATGGCCACGGACCACGTGTCAGGGGCAGAAAAATGGCCGTGGACCACGTGCCAGGGGTGGAAAATGGCTGCGGACCGTGTCATGGGAGGGAAAATGGCCGCATATCCTGTTCGTACCCCGAGGCGGAGTTCGCAAACCGAAGCAAAATGTTGTGGCCTGAGCAGGTCGTAACCCGAAAAGTTCGTTAACAGAAGCGTTCATAACCCGAGGTTCCACTGTAGGTCTCATTTAGTCACATACAGTAACAGAAGAAATAATAACCAGATATTTGCTGTAAATCAATTCTTTATTAACATCTGCAGATAAAGGACACAGCCCAACAGGAACTTCAATTTTTCTTATAAAAATAAAGATACCTGGTACATCCTTATAAAAGTTTCTAGTACAGAGTATCTTTTCTGCAAAATCCTGAACCTCACATTTCTATAATATGCACCATATGCATCAGACTAAGTGTACATGCATTTTATGTGGGGCGCATGGCAAATCATCTGAGTAGCTTACAAACATTGCCTATTAATTGCTACTGTAAAGAGACTGTAAATGTGATGAGTCTCACCATACTTATGCTTGTATTAATACCTTGTGCATTTCTTAAAGCTAAGGTGACAGTGTCATATTTCAGCCACAAATTTTCCATCAAGCTATCTATGGACTCAGTTATAAAGCCTCCAAACAAGCTATTCAAAACAGAAATACTGCAGGAGGCTGTATCTTTGGTGACTTTCTCCCCTCCAGTAGAAGCAGCAAAATACTGTTGAAAGCATAGAATACAATTCCTTCTTCATGTGGCAACTCGTTTGCAAAAAAGGTCAATAAGTTTCTTATTATTTCTTAATAAAGGTATGCCATCTTCCTGAAAGTCTCAGTCTGACACCTGTATTTTCTACTTATCATGCAACATCATTCTCAAATCACCAATTTTCCAAAGCTAATACTGCTTATGACTGCTAGTGCTTAATGTGTTTGCAGGAGTAACTGTGTTCTAGAAAATGAAAATACTCGAGGACTTCTTATAAAGGGCAGCAATGGAGATACAGAAAAAAAAATAAGCTGCACGGAGCACACAATGCAAATTAGCAAATACTATTCTTAATAGCTTGTCTATTAATAAATTCACAGCTACTCAGACAACCTTCCAATCTTCCTTCTGTACAATTGACACAAATATGGAACTTACCCTTACCCATTATTTGTTTAGACAACACTGAATCTTAACTGGAAATATGAACAGATTATATTTTATTATGTGAAAAACCTTAGAAGGCAGTTTCCTGTGACTGAGTAATGAAATGCAGAACCCAGGCTACATCACATGCTTATTACGAATAATTTCCCCTCCTTCTATCTCAATTTGCTCATACAGCCACTTGCGATCACAACGGCATTCAGGTCCACACTTTCTGGAGCCACACTTAGAGCAAGCATAGAAACACCCAAGGCAGTCTTCATCAAGGCAGTCACATAGGTCTATCCTGCTATACAGCAGAAGGCCTTGGCTATCATATACCTTGCTCTTGGCCGCTATTAATTGCCTGGAGGGAAAAACACAAGCCACAATAATTAACAATGATTTGTAATGTGAGACTCTCTGTTTTAAATAACTGTCAATTCAGTTTAAAGTTCCTGATAGGTGAATTTCTCTACTTTGCTGTACTGAGGAGCAGCAGATATAAACTAATATGACAACAACTGTATAGGCTGCCAAGAAACTTCTGCAGGGTAAGAATTTAATTCCATACAGAGACCATTACATATTCAAGCAGCTAGGCACAGCATGGGTGTCTCTTCATGCCATATTTCTGACTCACATGGCAAACTGTTCACATTTCTAGTGCTCACACTACATACGAAAGGCTTTTAGAGCTTTCCATCTGGCTACTGCAATACATCTCGCTACACAAAGTATAGCTGCTTCAATATTATTTGTTGTAACACTAAGCAGAAATCTATTCTTTATCACAAATTGACATGCAACTGTACTAGGGTTATATCTAATTCAGGGTTGCTTTGGATTTAGCATAGAGTACCAAAAATAGATCTACTGGTTGTTTAATATTAACATTGCCACAAAGTATAGTATCTCCACTGGCAATTTTAAAAGAGATTTAGAGTTAAGGGGAAGTTAATTTATAAAAAAGATTGACCGGTAAATTATTTTAAGTTTTAACATTAATAACATTATTAAACTATTTAATTAAGTCCAATTTTAAAAAGCAACAACAACAAAAACATTCCTTTTAGGCAGGGTTTGGTGTTCTGCAATCCAGACAATAGTAAAACTAAGCTTGGCTTCTCCATTATCTAACAACGCTTTAAAGATATTTTAAAGGAAAATGGAGACAATGGAGAAGAAAAGTAATATAAAGGGTGTTTAAATCTAAGACAGGTGACTCGGTGCTTTCCAGATACTATGGTCCACAAATCTCATAGTTTCTTGCCGCTGCCATATTGGTTAGGGGTGATGGGAGATAACATCCAAAACATCTGGAAGGCTCTTAGCATAGCGAACCAATGTTCAAATTTGGCATCAGTTCTTTCTAACATCTGAATACACTTTGCATAAATACAACAGAGCAATCCTGAATCATCTTAATTACATCAACTTAAGTGTAAGCATTTCTAGGGCTAAGAAATTGTTATTAAGATATGTTTACATTGCCATCCTTTACTGAGATAGCTGTGAATTATATTCATTCAATCCCTTCTGGACATTTTTTCTTAGAGAGCCCAATGATCCCAGACAGAAAAAACAATACTGAGGGGGAAAGGATGTAATTAACTGGGATCAGCTAGTATTATTCTATTGTTAGAGACATGCGGAATCAATCTAGATTACAAAACAAATCCACTGTCACAAAGTATGTATTCCTTGGTAGAACTCTACTTGACACAAAATTGGTATAAAACTGCTATGGAATAATGAAGTATATTCATCAATCAATATAGGCTGGAGACCCATCTCATAATTTCAATTATTTCTTCCAGAGCATTTTGATTGTTGTAGCCACAAAACTGCTTTAAAAATGCAATGGCCAAATAGAAGTAATGAAGATGACCGAGGTAATCCATGGATTTACCTGGAAGGAGGGCACAAATACTTTGTTGCTATGATAGGCAGCAAAAAAGAGGCTAATGTGGCTGTGCTTTTAATTAGCTTTCTTCTCCTTCCTCAGTGGAGAAGTCGTATTTCCCTAGTGCAATCTGTACTGTGACAAAAAGACAAAAACTCCATGCAGAACCTATTTTTGTCCTGGGGCCAAAAAAAAAAAAAGAAAAAGAAAAAAGTTGTACCAGGAACTTTTTCCCTAATCTGTGAATGAAAATGGATACCCTGACTACAGTAATGCAATTTATTGTTTTATTTCTATGCACATACATGAAAAAAAATTTCCATACATCTAAGCAGTTTTAAAATATAATCCATATGCAAGCAGAACATTTTCCCCTCAAAGTGAAAAAGCAAGGGTAATCAATGCAGAAAAGAACCCACCTGTCTGAATTAATGGATGTGCTTTTTGCTTGCAGCCTTCTTTTTTCTCTTTTGTTTGCTTCTGGAGCAAATCCAGTATGACGTCCTGGATTAGCAAACTGTAAGGACTTCAAGGCCTTAGCTGTACGTCCCTGAATAAATACAGACAATTTCATTTAAACAATTCAGAGCATTTCTAATAAAGTGATACCATATTTCTGCTAAGAGACAGGCATTGAAGCTGAAGCCAAATGTTAAAATTCTTAAGTATAATTTTCTTCTGATTGACATATCAATATAGGGGATATAAAACAAATGCCCTCTTCACCAATAATGTCTTGCTCTCGATCAAGGAAGACTGCATAACTATTTTAAAATATAAACAAATGGATGTAACATATTGGGGTATAAAGCAACACATACACTTATCTCTTTTTATTTATGGTATCAACTGTGCTCTAGGTTGCTTATGAGGTATCTCAATGAGTAAAAGTAATAGTAATATCAGTCAACAGAAAGCAAAGATAGTAAGTTGGACAGGAGTATATCCTTAGTGATGCAAGTTAATGGAAACAGGAATAGTGAGTTGCTACTTTAATAAACAGGGTAATTTCTTCGTTTCTCTCCTTATTTCCTATTTCCAAAATAGGAAATAGCTGGAGCATGTCTTCATTAAACTTAGACTGTGCAAAGCTGGACAGCAACTTCAGTTTTAAAGATGAAAGTCTTCCATCATGATGTCCTTATTGCTTGGAAGAGATATCTTCCTCTATCAAATCATGTAAGAACTCTAAGGTGTGTGCAGCTTCAGACTGCAGATGGTAATTCAGGTTTTTGAATGCTCCCATTAGTGAAATACTGTATACCTTGCAGGAAAAGCACTAACAAAACAGGAAGATGATTTGTTAGAATCTCTCTTCTTGGTGCTTCTCCCCACCTTGTTTTATATTTGCAAAGTATTTTACACAGGGAATTTTTTTTAAGTGTGGTCCACCATCAGTCTGAAGTAGTACAACCCATTCTAATCTCTCAAACTTTTTACATCTCAAGGTACAATGTGTTGATAAGACCTCACTGCTTACACAAATTATGTGGTCTCATCCTGTCTGCATTCTTACAAGCTAATTCACCTTTAACCATTATGAATGAGTTAAGATCGCATCATATTACAAACCAGGAAAGTATGGCTAACATCTTCATGAAAAACCACTTTATTAAAACAGCTCTTTAATTACTGTTTCCTGGTTTGAATGAAACAGAAATCTGTGTGACTGAGTTGAAAATTACGGGGAAAGCTTCTGCATATTGCAGTTTCAAAAGCTAAATATAGTTATTTTCTCCGTATTCCCATGAAAGGATCTGGTCTCTTTTCCCCTTAAAAGGATTAGAGTTCATTCATACATGCAACTCATACGAAGACTCATACGAGATACTGCAAATTTACAAGAAAACGCCATTTCTGGTGTTTAAACTGTGATGGCATTTTCTTCATGCAGGGCTTATCCAGTGATAGCCATATAATCAGAAACTGTACAAAACTGAGTGTACTCTTAGTATTTTAAGGTGGGGGGAGGGGCTATCTTATTGATGCTATTTTTTTCTATACCCTTAGCCTGTCTCCTATGGCACATATACTTAGAGGTACCACTTTATTTCAATGGGTGGGATTTATTGCCACATAACTGTGCAAAAAATTACAGCTTTAGTCCAGTACTTAGATAGTTGAAAAAATGGTCCCATATACATACGTCTGAATCAAGTCTCCTTCGTTGACGGTCTTCAGAGTCAACCTCTGCATTTCCATTTATTATCTGTGTACATTTGGGGCAAAGCTTCCAGCCTGGAATAAACTGACGTCCAAACTTGGCACTTAGAAAAGATGCATCATCTATGTCAATTGCATGCAAGTTTTTCCTTGAGTGTTTTTTGTGCATATTAAAAGGATCACAACATGACTTTTGCAAGTCTTCGTATCTATCAAGGTAAACTTTAGCATGATGGAAGCAGATTGTATGATTCTCTGAAAGAGTTATCCCAGTCCTAAGCTGAAGAAGTAACAGATCAGTTGCTGATAATTCTTGTTTAGTCTTCAAGCCAGTTTGAGAGGTAAAGTATGCTTTATGACAATCACTGCTAGCCTGCAGCTGATTTCCAACTGAACATGGATCCATTTTACTTGACCAGTAAAATATATTTCAGTGTTTAAATTGTATCTTTTGTCGTCTTTAGCAGCTGTTACGAGGATTATCCTGGAGAAAGCAGTGAAGGAAGTAAGATTTGTGATGCATAATTTTACTTTTAACTAGAGCCAAAACAAAATCAACCCAGAAATTTGCCCTGTACTCTGATAATTTTTTCAAGAATGAAGTGGAATCATAAAATACAGGTACTTCTGCAGGCAATGCCAGTAATCGTTTCATGGTTTTCAGGCAATTATTAGATTTGCGTGTACTGAAATGAAACTTGGAGCCTGAAAGTAAGGCTAGACACTTGCCTACCATTAAATCTAGGCACTAAAGTACCATGTTGCAACTAGAGTATGTTCATATATCAGCTTTTACAAATTCCAGGCATAAAACAACTGCCATTTCATGTATGGTTTTTCATAGATTAAAAGAATACCAGAGACCGGTACAACTAGCTTTAAGAACTGGAAGGATTAACAGGAGAACTGAACTAGGTAGATTGGCCTCCATTCCAAAATGAAAGGTTGCTTTACAGTAACAAAAATATCTTTTTCAGAATATTCATTGTGGAAAAGTTGCCCAAATGATAATGGATACTTATATTAGGTTCTTGGCATTAAGAATCTCAAAAAACAAGGTCAGGTTGTTAAGCTGTTAGCAAATTCCAAACAATCCTACTGTTCTAAAGTTAGCGTTTTACTTATGCAGAAGAATTTTGCAACAGATCTGATGGGAAGTTGTAAGATTTTTGTGCTGAAAAAATTAGAGACCATTTGATTAAGTCGAAAGTTACATAGATAAGAGAACTCAATTAGAAGTCACAGACAGAGTAGGCTAAGGACCACCTTTAATTACTTTCCGGCACATAATTTAAAACTCATGTATAGAAGCAGCTGCAACATGACGCTTTTGTACCATGGGAATATACATCTTGTCCAAACTTTGCAGAATCTGCTAGTGAAACATGCACCAGATTATTTCTTGAGAAATGTATGATGCCACTTCCGTTATCAGTCTTAACAGTGGAAAGAAGCCTTAAGAAATTTGAATTAATATTTCCTAATGGCAGCTCAGTTAAGAGTACAAGGCAGCAGGTTGCAAGAATGACGGCGGAAGCAAAGCCAATGTGAAGAAGCTATTAAGCTGCAAGCAATATTATGAAGAGATAAAATGTTCAGCAACAAAATCAGACAAGCAAAAAAACTTGCAGCTTTTTCCCTCCATGAATCAGAGTTGTATGCGTGTTCATTCCAGACTGATATTTTATCAGAACAGCAATTAGGATTATTTTTTTAGGGTCACCAAAATCATGGGTATTTTTTTCAAACACTTGCAGAGACCAAGATCCAAAAAAGTCCACGTATGCATGTAAATGCTTCTACACATGCAATATTCTTTATTCAAGTTTCCTTCCAACTAAAGTGTTGTGGGATTGTACTGGATGCCTCATAATCTTCTACATCATCATTTCATATAGGAGGACAAAGGGCCTAGATGAAGATGTCCTCAAAAGTCCACATATGCATGTAGAGGCTTGTAAGCAGCAATTGGATCCTGTGAAGAGTCTCTATTTTTAGCCTAATTCTCTTGTCTTCTTGAATAACTTATTTTAGAATCTGAAACAAAAATTCATATGAGGACTTGTGCCTGGGAATATTTTAACTCTTTGCTTTTTTCTCACACAGCATTATATTTTACATTCTCTATTCTGCTCCAAGTTAGTTATGACTCCAAAAATAAAAGACATAGAGTTCAGACTGGCTGCAAATATTTGACTGTGTTCTAAAAACACAACTATACTTTTCCAGCTCAACTTTTTCTTTGCATTGTTACTATTTGTTATGTAAACAAACATTATGATTGCCTTCCTCATTTCTATAACTTGTATTGCTTAAGCATTTTAGCCAAGAGACTAAGATCCTGTTAATAATTTAAATCCATTTATAACAGAAAAGAGATATATAAAATTGCATCGGCTCCCAGACCCAACTTAAAATGACAGAAATAAGGTTTTTAATTGTTGTCAGTATAAAATATTGCCAATAATGAGTGTTGCAACATCTAAAACTTTAGTTTTGCTTTGCTCTGATGAAACATTTTAAGTGATGTATGAGAGTGGACAAATTTTAGTAAGAACAGAAGATGTTAAGGATAATGCACTAATTTCATGTAGGAGTGAATCACTGAAGATAAATAGTTGATCCCCCATGATATGCTCACTAAAAACATGGCAGGTGGTGTCAGAAAGGAGACAAGGAACAATTGCTAGTAATTACATTAAAAAGTAACAGAAAGATTATACTGGCAGAACCAAGGCATGGGAAGAAACAAAACAGAAGGAATAACTTCATCAACATATTTTCCATTATCAAAGCATGCACATTACTCTTAAAAAATCTATAACTGCATCTGTAGTGGACTGATTATTCAGTGTCTGAGATCTTTAAAATCAGCATGTGAACTGGATTAAATCACGAGGGAAAACTGTCTTGAATAAACAAGCTGTGTCTCAAGACCCAAACAAGTGTGTGTTGACTTACAACACTGGAAGTGCTCAGATATGTCAACACATTGGGATATTTTAATTAGCATTTCAGCACCATGTAACTTAGGAGTGAGGAATGTCAGGTACTCACTACTGAACTACAACTCCCAGCATCCTTCACTATTGCCTATGCTGGGAGTTGTAGTTCTCTGGTGGAACTGAAGCTGCTCAAAGCTGTTGTCCAGCAGTGTCTGGAGGACTGCAAGTTACATATGTCTAATTTATGTGATGCTGAAGCAGTCACTGAAATATTTCAATATGCTGACATATGTGAGCATTTCTACAGTGGGGCAAAAAAGTATTTAGTCAGCCACCAGTTGTGCAACTTCTCCCACTTAAAAAGATGAGAGAGGCCTGTAATTTTCATCATAGGTATAC